CAAGGCGTGGCGTTTGTAGCTCAAGTCATAGAGCGTTGGCTGCAAGAAGGCCTTCCCTGCTATGCGGGTTTGACTCCCGCCACACGCCGCGAGTTTTATCACAATTGGGTCAACTAAATTAAACAAATCTGCCAAAACCCCTAAATAATAAAGGGTCTAACAGAAACTGGGTCATTCCTCATATGGGTTTTAGAAGGACCTACCTGCTGTATTTGTCCAGCAGTCAGCACTGGTGTCGTTGCGATGGAACCAAGCGCCTCAACGAGCCGAGAATTCTGCGCCAGTTTGACGTCGAGGTCGCGGTACCGGCTATCACAGTCTGCCATATGTTTTAGCAGCGAATCGAAGTTAGTTGCGTGCTGGCCACACAAGGCAACCAGGGTCTGCCATTTCCTTTCCACGTCCGCAATGGACAAACGAATAGCTGCGGCACCGTTTACGTATTCGCGATTCTTCAGCAACTGAGTGGCTTTGTCTCGTAGATTATCCACCTGTGATGCGAAGTCCTCGATGTCTGACTTTGTTCTGCACAAATATGGTACGTTGAACATTAATTTAACAATAAAAAAGGTAGAAAGAGCCATTGATTTGAAGTATGCTTATAAAACGTGCCTGCTCATGTTAGCTTGCAGCGTCTTCAACTCGTCAGGGATACTAGCTGAATATTGTTTTCCGCGCAGTTGGTTGATGTGCAGATCCAACCAATTGGTTATGTCGTCGCACATGAATTCGAAGGCCTCAAGTTGTTCATCAGTTGAGTCAAGTTCAGTACGTCGTTTAGCAAGGCGCTCGCCTGACTCAGCGAAGCGGAAGCTGACACGCTCGTATTGGTCCACAATGTCACTTAATTCTGTGAAATGAATCAAACAAACACAAGAACGTATGTGAACGCGACGATAAACGGGCCAAAGGAGGCATTTTTAAATAACATTTTAGAATAACAAGTACCGTGCAAACCGGCTGCAATATCTCCACCGGACATTCCACTGGAAGCCGTGCTCGACATGGGGCTCATGACATCTCCTGGTCCACGATGAGAAGTCTGTTCAAATCGCCATGACTGAGGACCTGAGGAATAGAGATCACGTGTTAAGTCAGGTAACGTAAAGTAGTAGCTATGTTCACGGAAGATGTAGTACCCAAACCACTGCTACTGCTGTACTAGAAACAACTGCGACAGTTAAGGAATATTATGGGTATTATTTCCAGGAGTAGCAGTAGTACTAGCAGTAATAATATGGTAGTAAAAATAGCAGTTTATTAGCAGCAGTACTAGTTGTAGTAGTGGCATTGTGGTAGTATAAGTAGTATTTTCGTATTTGAAGCATTATTGTGATAGTAGTAGTAGTAGTAGTAGTAGTATTAGTAGTAGTAGTAGTAGTAGTAGT